TCTGTCTCGTGCTCTTCCGATTACTGCTACTGCTACTGCTACGAGGCTGCAGGGGTAGATATGTCGGGGTTCGAACCATGTCTAGTATGGGTGTGATAGCATTTAGCCAATTTAGCGGTTGATTTTCCGGCTTGCCATCACCCTAAACTCTAAAGCTTAGCCTAAACTCAAAACCTTAAACCCCTGGAAACTCGAAACCCCTAGTCCTAAACCCCAAGACCCGAATACCTCGACCCGAAGTCCTGTACCAGACCTCCGTTCCGGCTCTCCTGGTGATTGTGGACGCAGAGCCGAGCTGGCGCAACTTCAGGGACCACCCGAAACGCCTAGGGTGACGATAAGGGTTACGAGAAGGGCGGCTGTAGGGGTACTGTAAGGGATTATTACAGGGGTCACCATAAGAGAGCTGCTCGAAGGGTGCTAGAGGGGTCGCGATCAGCATGACGGTTTACTAAAACTTGGTTGGGGATTCTTGGCAACTAGGTGGGGCTATGCGAAATTCTATTCTGTCGACCCTTTTACATGTTTGCTGTGGGACAGGGTGTGACCGGGACGGAGGACTCTGGGGTCAGGGTTTAGGGGTTAGGGTTTAGGCTTTAGGGTACCTGAAGTGAAACCTGAAGCTCTAGACCCACGCGCCCCCACCCTGCACCGAACCGCCTAAAAGCTAATCTAAACCCAAACACCAGGCCTAAACACTAAATCCCTAAACCCAGAAACGTGACCCCTGAAGCGTGAACCCTACCCGAAAACCCTAAAAACCATTTCAAACCCTGAACCCTAAAACGCTCAAGCTTAAGCCCACAACCCGACAAGCAGCCAGGTCTAAGTTGTCGATCTATTCGCTGGACAACGAGCCCCTTTTAGACAAGTTCGATCTGGGGTCTCCCCTCCTCGCTTGCGATTGACATGTAGAAGGCATTGGGTTGAGGGTTTATGGGTATGGCTTTGTGGCTAGGGGTGTGGCTAGGGTCGTAGGCTTGGTAGTTCGACTCTTTCGAGCGCCTTTGCGGTTAGGGTTCTTCCGCCATGATAGAGTTTATGAGTGTAGTACCCTAAACCCTAAACCTTAAACCGAGTGTAGTGAATGATTGCAAATTGTCGTGATTATGCAGCCTCGGAAGTGCAAACGGGAACACGGGAAAGAACGAGAGAGAGAGAGAGAGATACAATCCATCTGTCTTCTTGTGTTACATATATACAGAACAGGTCTGTATGTTGTATAGACAGACACATCGTGAGCGAGAGAGTGTGATGAAAAGGCAGAGAGAGAGAGAGAGAGAGAGAGAGATAGAGAGATAGAGAGAGAGAGAGAGAGAGAGACAGAGAGACAGAGAGAGAGAGAGAGAGAGGGAGAGAGCGCGAGAGAGAGAGCGAGAG